CGAAAGGAAGGAAAACTCGCCTTGACAATTTTTGCGTCGGACTCGACACAACAGACGCCATTTTGTAAACATGTATTGCCACCTTTGTCCCACCCGCTCCCCCCACATATATGAACATAAAACATTGACACGACTTTGTGGACAAAACCAAACCTAGTATGGGGGACAGGGGGAAACGTGTTTAATTCATTTTTAATGCGGATTTAATGCATAAATTAATTGTTTAACGGAAATGGAGTGACCAATCCAACCATCACTATACCTCATGGTATGAAGTACATACCATGAGGTAAAAAGGTTGACTTGGAGAGATGTAGCAAAGGAGGTTGGATTAGAGAATGGTAAGTGATACACGTTCGAATGACCTTTCTCGGTTTTCTTTGTGTTTGTCTTGCATAAGCAATCTTCGATTTCTACGGTTTAACGGTAGCAACAATCCAATTTCGACTTCATTATCCGCCGTCTTTGATTCCTGAGAGGTGAACTGCGCCTGCGCAATTGCCATCCTTATGCTTATGCTTCTGTAACCCCGTTTCACACATATTTTTCTTATGCTTATGCTTATGTCAGTGTGAACCAGCCCTTAAGCTTGCTTGATCCAATCAAGGATATACCAAATCTTTACATGCAGAGACGTTTTCAAAGTGCTTGTTAAAAGACACATCATAAAACTGCACTCACCCGTCGAAACTTACCACGCCTAAGCAATGCTGCCACTACTCCTTACCACCCAACTTCCCTTAACCACCACATGTTCCTCCCGGGTAACACTACATTACGTCGCTGTCACGCGGTGCCTTCGCTCTGTGTTTTGCCAAAACCTGTCAGGAAAAACTCACCAAGGTAAGGAGTAATTCCTAAGCATTAAGTACAATATTTCATTGATCCTTCCTTGCTAATACTTTTTTTTTCCTTGCAAACACTGCCATTTTGTAAATGCGAATTTTCATGTGTAATTCGGCGATCAGCTTCAGCTAATCGTAACCGTGTAAATGCGAAGTGAGTCAAATTTCAAAAATACTCCAGCTGTTCTTATGATATTGCGGGTAGATGCCTCCAAATTGAAAAGCCTAACGTCTTCTACTTGTGGATATGCTAGCAAAGCAAACAAAAGCAAAGAAACGTGTATTCCGACGAATGAAAGTCAAAGTAAGAGCTGCTGTGTGTTGATTTCCGAAGGACATGAAAGGTCAAAGGGTCGCCCGTGTTACTCAAGTGACCTGTTTTGAAAATATTCTCAGAATTCGCCGTTTTAGTTAACCCATTTTTTCTTCGCCTGATGTGTAATTGAAATGATTAATCTTCCCTGGAGTGTAGTGTCGTTGGGTGAAGCCATGTACCAGAGTGCTTTTTTGAGCCTTGAATTTCGTCTAGACACGGGTAAAAATTGTGCTTGCGTGACCACCGTTACTTGTAGCGTAAATTACGCGTAAAAGGCCTTTTCTTACACATGTTTTACTATACAGCTTTTCAATTGCCTTAGCTGAATTTTTTATATGTTGTAAAACAATAACAGGGCTTTGCAAAAATGTATTTTTCATTTACGATTTCGCTGTACCAAGGTACGAAAATTGCCTTCAAAAATGCCCTATTTTTAGGTTGTTTTCAAAGTGCAAAAAGTAGCAATTTTCGGGCGCTCCTAACCCGAAGTAAAAATGCATTTCTTGGCAATATTTTTACATCGTTTTGTTTTAGTTGTGATACCAAACATACATGTAAAAGATAATTTTAATAGACCGAGCCGTCTTTCTCTGAGACTGATGTGAATATGTCCAAATTTTCGGCTGAATTTATTGCGGAAGCGCGAAAACGGTAATTCTCCTTTTTGTTGGATTCCTCAAAATCAAATACTCTCTGGCAAGTTTTGGTCTTATTTTCGAAAATAGTTCACCAAAGGGTTTCTCCTGGCAAAATATGAAGAAATCCGTGATTTCAGATTTAAAAATCAATTCTCGATGTTTACGGTCCCCTGGTCTTTAAGAATGGCTGACTGTTAGGATTGAGAAATGCCGGTCAACGACCCATATGGCAAATTGCTCATATTTTGCCCAAAGATACCCTTAGGTGACCCAATTCTAAAAATCATATTTAAAGGTTCCAGCGAATT